CCCTGAAGCAGTCCAGATAATTATCCAGCTTCCTGGGCTCTTCACCTCACACTGAAGGCCACACATGGATAGGAGAGTTTAGTTTAATCTTGACCTTCCTTAGGAAGAGTGGAGGAAAGAAGGATATCTGAAGCTTATACCTCTTATTTCTGCCTGAGTCTTCCACCACAGTGTACTTATAGTCCTCTCTAATGTTTGGCTTATATAATACCATTTTCTCAGACGTCAATATAACATCTTCTTTCGTTTCCCTGTTATACCATCATATCCTTAATAAATCTCAGCTTCTGGAAAGTAGATCTGAGTTGCTAAATATGTCTTAAGAGCCCTTTCCCATTCTTTGCCTTCTGTTTCCCCCTCATTTGGGCTGAAATACTGGAACTTATTTTTACAGAACCAAAGTTTTATATGAAATCATTTACCATAAGTGGCAGTTGTAAGGACTTTTTATATTCAACGTATAAAATTGTTTAAGGGTTCAGTTTTTAGGTTATCTAATTTTTATTTCCTGTTTCTTTTTCATTTGCTGTTTGATATTTTCATTCTCTTTGGTGCCTTATTTGAAGAACAAAAAGGAAAGAACAGGAGAAGCTCAAATCACACATTTATTTGGCTCTTCGTTTGGGTGGGGAAAATTGAAAATATCTGCTAAAATATACTTGTGTATTTTCTAATGCAATATAATTTTGTTACCTACAGTCAAGTTTCAGAATTTGTTACCTACAGTTAAGATTTTAGTTTTAAGTTGTGTGTGTAAGATAATAAGATAAGGTTCATTTCATTTCCCTTCTAAAAATTCTGTTTCTCTAGAATGTGAGTTATTAATGCTTTCCCTAAAAAACAAATTCTACTCCCAGAACCTTCCAATTTTCCCTAGTTCACATTCTCTGTCATATGGCTGCCTTTGCACTGTTTCCCTACTCTGCCCTAGCATTAGGCCTTATCCAGGAGACAGTCATCATCATTGATTGCTATTAATTTATTGATTAATCTGGTAAAAANGAAAAAGGGTGTGTCTTATACATGGGGAAATACAGTAATATTGTCTATCTCAAAAGCAAGTATTCTAAATAATCAGTTTTTATAAGTGTATTAGATTTTAAATCTGTTTTCATTATTGTTTTTCAGAATATATCTTGCTTTAAAAAGAACATATCGTAATGCTCATGTAATTTTAGAATTCTTCAGTAGTATTTTTTAGAAAAATAAAGTTAGCTTGCTTGTTCAATTTTTAGAGTTCTTTTGTGTCCAGCTGTACAAAGTTGTCTGGCAGCTACAAGATGTCTGACAATGACAGCGACCATTTTTTTCAGAAAATATAAATCTACACAAGCACATCACATATGACATTTATTGGCATCATGTAGTGGTACATTTTCCCAGTTGCATTTGAATGAAATAAAGCTTCTGTTTTTCTTTCAATAGCTTGTTAGTTGTGTATGTATTTACACACACACACACACACACACACACACTCACACACACGCGCGCGCACACAACGAGCAGAAGAGAAGCATAAACACGATTTTGAAAGCAATTGGATTACATAATGAACAACACAAGACATGCTGTTGTGTGGGGCAGAGTAGAGGAATAGTCTTAATCATTAGCTGACATACTTGAAAATGTCAGCTAGTAGTTCCAAACCTGGTCTTATTTAGAAATGGGTGATATGCCTAATGTTCTCTGATATACCATACCTAAGCTGTTTACTGGTCTCTTGCTCTATATAGAGGCAGCTTTTCAAACAAGTCATTCTTTTGCATGACATATTAGATAGCATTTTTATTTCACTTTCAATCTAGTAAACTTCTAAATTATACTAGATGCCTTGAAAATATTTTTTTAAATATTCCCTGAACCTTATTTTGTATAACATACTTTGATTTTAGTCCCATATTTTTGTTCTTGTGTACTTTTCTCAACTGCTTTATTATTCAAATAGGAATTAAATGATTTACTTTGCTCTTCTCTGAGAAATGGTTTCTAATCAATAGCTGACTGAAGTAAGACTTAAAAGGTGAGATTCTTATTAATTCTGCTGTTGTCCCAATCTTTTATTTAAAGCCCACTTTACTCATAAAAATATTTTGGGATATAATAGGTGACCACACTCCATTCCTTATTCCCGCACCTTCCAACCTCAGCAGTCCAGTCTGCTTAACATCCGCCTTTAGCCTCAGCTCATTGCTAGATGTATTTCATACATACTGTACTAGGCATTGTGCTAAATTGTTTACATGTATAACTATTTCTCTCAAAAATTTTAGAGGCAAAGCCTGAATATTTTTAATCTAGTATAAAACTATTCATTGTGTAATAGTTATGCATATTCTGCTATTTTAGAAATAGTTGTTAACTCTGCTTTTAAGTTTTCATTTATTTACTGAGTATGTTATATACACAGAGATTGTGCTACATTCTTTGGGGAAATACCAAAGAAATGAAAAGCAAGGCCACATCTTTCATGGAGCGTATTTATAATTTACTTGGTAACGTAAAACATAGATGCAGNTGTTCTTCAGTCTAGTTGTGGAGGACGTCACTTCACTGGCCCATGTTGGTATTATCATTGCACTCTTCCCGGGTGAGGCAGATCAGTCGCTGGCCACTGCATGGCCACTCATGGTGGCTCTTGGCAGCTCACGCTGGCTGCCGGCCACTCATGATAGCTTATGGCAGCCCACACCATCACTGGTGACTCACGGCAGCCCAGCTCCAGGTCAAGCTGTTGTTCACCATCTTAGCTGTAGAGGACACAGCATCACTGGCCCACATGTGGGATCTGAACCGGGGCCCTGCTGCTCAGAGCTGGTGTCCCAAGCCAATTCTTAACCAACGCGCCACTCAGTCGGCCCCTTTATGTTTTCTATAGGTAGCATGGATACCCATCTATGAGATAACATAAAATCTGCTTTTCTAAGTACTTGATTTCAGAAAAATTAGTGGCAGTAAATTCAGCATTGTTGATTGTAGGTGAGTATTAATCTTGAATGATTTTGTGCATATCTGGGCTGCTAGAGGAAACTTTTATGCCTCTGTCAGCATGTGAATGACTACAGCACTGTTTTATTTCTCTTAGAGCAAGGAGGGTATGTGGACAGAACAATACCATAATAGTTTTAGACTATGATGACAGTTTGAAATTGTTTGGAAGATAAGATCATTGAATATAATAATGTACATAGGCTCTCAATAAATACTTGCTGAATTTAATTAGAGGTGACTTCCAGATCCTATGTAGATGCTTATAGCATCATACATCATACATTTCCTTGATTTATAGTTTCATTTGGAAAACACTGTTAATCTGAACAATATTTTGCTTTCTAAAATATGGTATGTGCATCTTAAAAGTCTGTCCTGGTTTCTCTTTCTATTTCTTCTTAGCCTCTTTCTATGGATTGTATTTTTCTACTTGCCCCTTAAATATTGGTATTTCCTAAGATTCTGCCCTAGGGTCTCTTTCCGTGATACATATTCGAGATTATCTAGGCAATTTCATCTATTCCCATGGTTTTCTCAGATGTCTTTCTTCTACTTGTACCTTTATTCTCAACTCTCAACCTGTATATGCCCAATTATCTACATAACATCTGGATGTCGCAGGCATCCCAACAGTATGTTCAACATTTAGCTCATTTCTTTCTCCCCACATTCCCAATCAACTTTCCCAAGGGAAAAAAACAAAAGGATACATATATATATATATGCATATACGTATAGAACTTAGGTACCTCTCCTGCTGTTTTGGAAAGCCCACTGCTAATAAGCAGCAGGCCTGGAACTGTAAGTCTTCTGAATGTGAACGCTCAAAGTGTACTCTCTGTGACATGGTGACCATATCTTCTGAACCAAAATTTGCTTGATGTTGCAACAATATTTGAAGCCTGAACTTGTTATTGTAATTATAGCACATATTATTTTTCATGTCACTTTATTAAGTCATCGGCATTACGGCAGGCAGACACAAATAATAACACATATAATGTAAAGTTGCAATTATGTTAAGTACATGATATGTAGTATGAGGTGCTTTGTGTATACCTACATTGTGTGTGTGTGTGTGTGTGTGTGTGTGTGTGTGTGAGATTTGACATAGTTAGGGAGATCAAATAATGCTTCCCTTGGTGTTGGTGATTAAATTCAATGTGAAGGTTGAGGCGTTCATCGGGCAAGGTTGGGGTATGGGGAGAATGGAAGAGTGTTTAAAACAGGGATCTGGTGATGGTAGGTGCCTGCTATGTGTGAGCAGCTGTTTCTGTGCAAAATAATTTGTAATCTTGTTAGAGATTTTTTTCCCCCTTATTTCTTCTTTCCCCCTTTCTTGCTTCTTTATTCTAAAAAATATATATACTTGAAGCTATACTTTATATTAAATAGAGAGTACTTGAAAGCAAAATGTAACTGCTTTTCAAATTACATGGTAGACAGTGATTTGAATTAGAGGAACCATGGGATTTAAGGAATAAACATAGCCAGGACTTATCTATAAAGCTACAGGTATTGTGATGGTGGGGTTTTCATTCTTGTTACCTAAAATTACACAAGCATTTATAATCTACATTTTGATAAACCAGGGATTAACTAAACCAAAGTCATAAGTTTCAAAATCTTTGCTTAAATTTTAAGTGACTTATTTTCTAAGTGCATTTTATACTGTGAAGTTTAGTGTTCTATATATTCTGTTTGTGTGAGAATTAATTCAGACTGTAGACATTCTATTAGAAAATAAAGTGACTTTTGAACTACTCTGAAGAACTCTGGTCTGTGGTATTCTAAACTTGATGACTCTTCATTCTTTTGCTCTACTTTCATCGGCATATGTATTATCCTTCAAAGGTAGTTCTGACTTTTGATCCTCAAAACAGTTCTTCAGCTGCTCTTAACCAATACTTGAAAAGGAATATTATATTCCAAGAATAGGAAATTATTTCCAGTGTTCTATAACTTCCTTATAATGCTCTTAGAAACTGAGTTCATATCTGTTTTCCTTGCAGAGAGGGCTATTGCAAGACATGAAGTCCGAGAAATTGAGCAGCGACATACAATGGATGGCCCTCGGCAAGATGCCGCTTTAGATGAGGAAGAGGACATGGTGATCATTTACAACAGAGTCCCCAAAACTGCGAGCACCTCTTTTACCAACATTGCCTATGACCTGTGTGCAAAGAATAAATACCATGTTCTTCACATCAACACTACCAAAAATAATCCAGTGATGTCACTACAAGATCAGGTAAACGCCACATGGAGAGTACATAAATGTTTTCCTATACTTCCTCACTGAAATTTTGTATCTCAAGGGGACAAAGCACTTTAAGTGCTGAACTCAATGAATTATAAGTCTCTTGGGGAAAGGGATCAACCAAACTTTAATATAATTTTACATTCTTCACAGTATTTGGTACCTTTTCTTACATATGGTATGTATTCACATATTTGTGGAATAAATGAATAGCTTGAATTTTTTAAGAGAAAATTGATGCTCTTTAGTATGGTATTCTTTTAAAAATATGAAATATTAGGAAGATACCATACAATAAAAATTGTTATATTGTCTCAGTTTTTGATAGAGAAATCTTTATTTCATGAATACCTGTGTCCTGTATGGCTCAATTTTATGACCAGCCTCCTGAATTTCATCTCATCTTCACTAGTAATTTTTATTTATATATATATATACACATATATATATATATATATATATATATATATGTATATATATATATGTATATATATATATATAATACAATTTATTATAAATATATATATTTATATATATAATATATATTATGTATATATGTAAGAACTGGAGAAATAGGGATTGTGGCTTATATTTAATGTAATCTTGCCTTTTAAGTTGTTAGGAAACTTTAAATAAACAGATGGAGATCATTTTATGGAATAGTTTTAAGAAAAGTAGAGGAAATGATCTCATGATATGAAATTTATTCACCTCTTTAGCAGTAGTAGCACACATTTTCTGTATACCTGGAGTTCTAAATATAATTATAAATAAATGAAGTTATTTCTACAAATATTGAAGGGAATGGGAATTAGGCCCCATGAGATGAAAAGATAATATTTGAAAACACTATCTAGAATTAAATACCATACTGTGGTACCCTTATTAGAAAAGTATTTGGGATGGTCATGTAGTTAGAATGTATAATTTGAAAACAGCTGAACTTGTTTTGTCGCAGCATTGACTGTTATCCCACTATTTAGTATACCTACAATCTTTATTCTGAAGCAAGAGAATAACATNGGCTGCTGGCCGCTCACGCTGGCTGCTGGCTACATACGGTAGCCCATGGCAACCCACTGCCACAGGGGCTGCAGCCTACCCCGTCGCCGGCGACTCACAGGCAGCCCAGCTCCAGGTTGAGCTGTTGTTCAGCATCTTAGGTTGAGCTGTTGTTCAGCATCTTAGCTGTGGAGGGCAGTGTCACTGGCCCTCAAATGTGGGATCCGAACCCGGGCCCTCTGGCGTCCCAAGCCAGCTCTTAACCATCGCACCACTCGGCCGGCCCAGCTTCATCATGTTACATTCAGGCTTTGTCTACTCAATTGACAAGGTTCCCTTCAAATGTTCTGAGTATGCGCTTGTTCTTTTAACCATTCTTGATGTTCATTCATCTATCCAAGCTGTATAGAGTGGAATTGTAAAGAAGTTAGCTCAGTCTGTGTTTCTTGCTTTGTCACACCACATATGCTGACATGGTAAGAATAAGCTTCTTAAAATGTCTTTTACCAACCTGCTGCTCAGATTATACTTTTCCTCTTTTGATCCTGTATAACACCACAGATTCCTACCAAATATGCTCTTCTCTTCCTAGGAAGATTATGGTCTAACAGGCCAATAAGAGTTTATCTTCCTGGAGTAAAGACGCGTTTTCTCCTGTTCCACCTGAGCCCTCCTGAGGAGCAGCTCCAATGACTGGCCAGGGTTAAAGGTGGAGGCTGTGACCACAGAACATATTCCAGCCCCACGTCACTCCATCCCCTGTACAACACTACCTGGTTGGCAGAAGAATTACACCTACAAACCTGAAAGGATGCTCGTTTCCTAACCAGCTGAGCTGAACGGCCCAGATACTATTTTTATCATGCCTGTTTTCTGTTACAAGCCCTTGCGTCCGTGTGTACAAGCATACAACCATACCCTAACTTACAAATAATAGTTCTTATCCATTTTCAGAATGAGTTCACACATATAAATGTCACTCAAAGACATGTCCTAGAAAGTCATTTCCCAGACAGCAAGAAGAGTTTTGTGAAGTACCATTTCCCCTTTTCAAGGCTGTTTGGTAAGAATTGCTGTCTCTTCCAGGAACCAGGGGAAAGGGAAAGAGGAAGCTTGAGGGGAAATGTTCTTCTGGGAGGAGGCAGTTCCCAAGAGAATGGCTCAGGATGGGTCCGTAGCTAGTGATGGAGAGGATACAGGGGGTTCCCAGGGAATTCTACAATCTTAAGAATGGAGTCCTTGACCTGCTGTCCCGTGCTTTCCCTTTCTTGTAGATTCCTATTCTAAGACTTGCAGCCCTCTCAGTTAAAGCAGCAACTCTGTATTCCTGATGCCTCCCTCCCCTCGCCTCAGTACTGAGGGCACTCTCCCACAGAAAGGCTTTGTAAGTGGCTAACCCACAGCCTAATTCTACTAATTAGTAGAATCCAACCTAATTCTACTGATTTCAACAGCTATATGTCCGATGTCATGTTGAACATTAGTGATAAAGCCACGAACAAGAAGGAAACAGTCGCTAACCTCATGGACTTATACTTTAATACCTAATGTGACAATGTCATATATTTGCAAAAATACTATTTCCTCTTTTAAAAAAAAACTGCAAAAAAAATTTTTTACTGCGTTTTTGGTTTTATAGGTTTATGAGTTCGCTGAAAAAAAAATGCATCTCAAGCTCTAATCAACCAACTCACACTTGTAATATTGTAATAATGTTTTATAAAAGGATTCTCTGTAGTTTTCAGTATTTCCATATGTACAAAGAATTTAGTGACTTTGAGTTATTTAATCACAAGAAAAGTCTCTCTTCACTAACTTGCTTAAGAATTTAGTATAATATATTTGTAGAATGCCTGCTGTGTGTAAGGTATTGATTGTAATAGGCATAAGTAAGGGAAAATGTGAAATTGGTTAGTTTAGCTATATGCTTTTTAGTGCTTTTGGAAAAGGATTTAAGTAAGAAGGGAAATTTAAGTTATAAGCTATTAGCTAAATTGAGGGTTTCTGTGGACAAATTTAGTGAGCATATCAAGAGTGGTTATGATGTCACACAATTAAGTTCATGATCTCATCCTAGAAAAAGTGCTACATATCTCATTGCTGAATATCACTATGGTCACCTTCCAAGCACTCCCCTTGGGAAGCTATGCACTGATGCCAGTAGCTAGTCCACCCTTCAAAGCAATTTTGGAACTCTTTTTCTGGAATGGCCATCAGAGCTGTCGTCATATTACCCTTGATGTCCTGAATGTCATCAAACGTCTTCCTTTCAATATTTCCTTTATCTTCAGGTGAAGAAAGAAATCATTGGGGGCTAGATCAGGTGAGTAGGGAGGGTGTTCCAATACAGTTATTTGTTTACTGGCTAAAAACTCCCTCACAGACAGTGCCCTGTGAGCTGGTGCATTGTCATGATGCAAGAGCCATGGATTGTTGGAGAAAAGTTCAGGTCATCACACAGCCTTTCAGCACTTCCAAATAGTAAGCTTGGTTAACTGTTTGTCCAGTTGGTACAAATTCATAATGAGTAATCCCTCTGATATCAAAAAAGGTTAGCAACATCGTTTTTACTCTTAATTTGGACTGACAGAACTTTTTTGTTTGTGGAGAATTGGCTGACTTCCATTGTGCACTTTGACGCTTTGTTTCAGGGCTGTATTGGTACACCCATGTTTTATCATCAGTGATAAAACAGCCCAAAACATCGTCTTGCCTCTCCAAAAAGTTTTGGCAAACTTCTAACTCTCCGTTGCTTTTGTTCATCGGTGAGCTCCTTCAGGACCATTTTGCACACACCTTTCTCATGCCAACATTTTCAGTTAAGATTTTCCCAACTGTTTCTCTATTGATGTTAACTTGGTCTACTGTGCTTCTCACAGTCAACCAATGATTTTGATGCACAATTCGACAAATGTTTGCAATGTTTTCATCAGTTCTGCTCATTACTGGCTGCCCTGAACACTCTTCATCAATGACATGTTCTCTCCTCTCAGAAAAACGTTTAATCCATTTGTATACAGTACTGCTGTTTTCTTCATGACATCATCCTCATAAACTTGGACCAACGTGTCCCTGATTTCACTTCCATTCTTGCCAACTTTAACAAGAAATTGAATGTTTGTTCATTGCTCTAATTCAAGCTCAAACATTCTCACAACGGCACACAAAAACACACAACAACAATAATGAACGCCACTCAGCAAGACACCACCACACCTTGACATGAACACCGCTGTGAAACACTGATATACCAAGGTTATGAAACCTTACTGAGCTGTTTGTACAGTGCTGCCAATGTAAGCGCACGGTGGCGAGTTCACAAGCTTAATTGTCAGACCTCATATATACTTCCTCTACCCTACTCCCATCTCTCTACTCTCTCTCTGTTAATATCTACCCCCTTTGTGATTCTGTTGCATCCAGATTGATCTCCCTGCTATTCCTTAAAAATACCTGGCACTTAGCTGCTTCAGGGCTTTCAGACTTGGAAGTCTCATCTTCCTGGAACACTTTCCCGCAGATATCTACGATATTTACATGGCTCCCTTCTCATCGTAACCTCAGTGATGCCTTCCTGAAAAACCTTGTTTTGAATTGTACTCTCCGTCTTCTCCTGGCATTCCCTATTTCCTTTCATTGCATTATATTTCTGCTTAGTACTTTTTGCCATTTCACATATTTGCTGCTTTATTTGTTTATATTCTGTCTTCTCAAAGTAGAATGTTATTCCAGAAGGACAAGAAATTTTATCTTTTTTTTTTTTTTAACTGCTGTATCTCTAGTATTAGGGACATTTTTGTGTGTGAATTAATGTGATAGAAAATTAAAAAAAAAACAAGGGTAGCATTCTAGTTAAGGAAGACAGAATGAGCAAAGGCATGTAAGAAGAAATAGGAATAAGTATGACAAGGTAGACGAGGCAGGCCTAGCTATAACAGACTGATGATGGTCTCTTATTTGAGGAGAGTTGAAAATAAAGTGAGATCAATAAGGCAGTACCTAAGACATAAGGCAAACAGATATTAACAATCTGGCAAGGGCATTTGGGTTTGATGTCAACATAAGCGGTAGAGTTATTTCAGGTTTCTTAGAAGAGTTATCTAACAAGTAGTGTTTTAGGAACATCAGTTGAGAATTGGTATTGAAGGTAGATTGAAAAGGAGAGAGACCAGGGGCCAGCCGAGTGGCGCATTGGTTAAGAGTTGGCTTGGGACGCCAGCTCTGAGCAGCAGGGCCCCAGTTCGGATCCCACATGCAGGCCAGTGATGCTGCGCCCTCTACAGCTAAGATGGTGAACAACAGCTCTATCTGGAGCTGGGATGCTCTGAGTCACCATTGATGGCCTAGGCTGCAGTGGGCCTGGCTGGCAGCTGGCGTGCACTTTCATGAGCTGCTGTGAGCGGCCGTCCAATGGCCAGTGAGTGACTGCCTCACCCAGGGAGAGCGCAATGATAATCCCAACATGGGCCAGTGAAGCGACGTCCTCCACTATTAGACTGAAGAACAAAAGCACAGCAACTTGTCTTTTCCCCTTCCCTGATTCCCCAACGCTGTTCCCCTCCCCCAATTCCCCAATAAAAAATCTTTAAAAAAAAAAAAGAAAGAAAGAAAGAAAAGGAGAGAGACAGGATGTAAGAGATCCAAGTAGGTTATTGTACCAATCTAAGAAGGAGACCTAGGAAGAGGGCTGTGATGAAGAGAAAGGGAAAGATGAAGACAGGTAACATCTGTGAGAAAGCCTACAAACAAAAAATCAAAAGGACTTGGTAACTGCACTAAACAAAGAATAAAGGGACTTGAAGAGTCAAGATAACACTAAAGTTTCAAGACTGGGATAAGTGAGGATATTGAAACGGAGCTAGCTGGACAATTCTAGGGTCTGCAAGGATTGCTAAAAAGTCTTATGTTCCTTCAATTCTTTATCATTCCCTAAGGAAATAATGCTGAAAACTTAATGTCTTTCACTTCTATCTTGTCTTTAAAATCAGCAGCAGTAGAAGGCAGACTCAAATGGTTGCACTTGTGTGGACTTACACTGTATCCATTAATAATATTTGGTAGGCCAAAAATAGAAATCATTGCTGCACAAAATTAAAGTGTTTTATATAATTCTTGCCAGTAAAATTTTAAATTATGTTTCATTCAGTTTTCCATTCTCTTCTTTATCTTCAACCATAATTTTAAAGTTCTTATTTCTTGTTTACTTTATTGTAACAATCATAAAATATTTCCTAATCTCAACATACTCTATTTTATTTAAATTATTCATGTTCTTCTTTTCCTATAGAATCAATACTTCAAACTTATAATTTCAGGACACTGCTAAACAGAATGAAGATGTCAATTTCACCTTTTAAATGTTGTTCTATTTCAGATTTGGTGTGAAGAAGAAGCCAATTTACATTAATGTCATAAGGGATCCTATTGAGAGGCTAGTTTCTTACTATTACTTTCTGAGATTTGGAGATGATTATAGACCAGGGTTAAGAAGAAGAAAACAAGGAGACAAAAAGGTAAAATTTCAGTTTTAAGATTTGTGTAAAAATAATTGTTTATGAAATACAGTGAACAGCACTCATTTAAAATTTATTATTGATATAAATGTACTACTTGCTTATTGTGGAAAGTTTGAAAAGAGCTCAAAAGTATAATGAAGTAAGAGTAAAACTACTTTATAGTTGATATTTTGGAGTATAAATAATTTTTTATAATTTAAAAAATGTAGTTTGCCTGTGTTCCAAGGCTGAATATTTACATTATAGTATTAAGAATTTTCTGGGAGAACATTATAATTCATTAATATGATGTATTTGTGTGTGTGTGTACTCTGGTTCTCTTAGTCTCAGTGATGTAGTTTATATTCATTCGTGGTCATCAGTTTAGGGACACTATTTTGTTAAAGCATTTTTTTTTTTAGGCAAGGAGAGAATAATGACTCAACAGAGTTCTTACTTCACAGGTTCAGATTTGGGTTTTCATCTATTAATATGCATCCTCTGGAGTAGAACCAGAGTTTTGTTTGTTTGTTTGTTTGTTTGTTTAAGGAGGGCACAGCTCACAGTGGCCCATGCAGGTATTGAACTAGCATCCTTTGTGTTACCAGCACCACGCTCTAACCAACTGAGCTAACCAGTCACCCCAGCAGAGTTGTTTTTCTAAAACACCAAACTGATTTGTCAGCTCTTCTGGTGGAACGCCTTTACTGGGACCGCCTTGCTCGCAGGATTGCCCAAGGCATAGGCAACACAATCTGACATAAGCTGAGCCCTGCCTCATTGTCTCAGGTGTCCAGTGCTTCAGCCGTGTGAAAAGGAACCGTCCTCCCAATTTGTGATTGCTTCATGTTTATTGCACACATGTAGTTCCCTGTACTTAGAATGTCTCCCCCTCACTCTGGAGAACTCTGTTCACCTTTAAGGCCCAGCTCAAAAGTTCCTTCTTCTGTAAAGTCTTTTCCTGTGCCCCCGGGCAGTTAACCATGTCTCTTTCAAGGCACTCACAGCACTCCATTCAAATCTCCTTTTTAAGCATTTATTTTGTTGTATTTGAACTATTTGTTTACATGTATATTTTCTCCGAAACGTTGTGAACTTCCTGAAACAGGCTCTGTTTCATTCATCTTTGTTTCCCCAGTATTTAGCACAGTGCCTAGTTTATCTGTCTGTGCTAACAAATTGGTTGAATGAGTGGATTCTGTACCTTTTAATTCTAAAGCGTTGAATGGTAGTGATGCTAGATACTAAATGTTACTGCATTACCTTAATTCTCATGAAGACAGGGTCATCTACAAATTCTTTATTAAAATGAAAAATTCCTTTGTTTTGTGATTGCCAAAATGGACCTTTTCAGTCTTAAACACAATGAAACATACTCATTTTTAATAATTTGGTTTATTCCTCATGACACAAACGTTGTATTCTGGGACGAAATAAGTTAAATGATGTTGTTTTATTACAAATAACACCTTAATATCTTTAGCTAGCAAGAGTTTTTATTAATAAACTCATATCTGTAAAGCAGATAAGACAGCATGGCATATAACATTTTTTTTTAAATGGCAGGGTTAACATTTTGAAAATGGAAGATAATGTGGATTAAAAGGTGACTATGATGTGATGATGTAGGAAATACCTTGCGGTGTCTTAATTTCCATGAAATTGCATACTGTTTGCACTTCAAGTGATACTTTGAAGCATAATAGATAATATTCAGTTCAGCTCTCATGGCAACAATTATGGTTTTGTTTGTTTGTTTGTTTGTTTGTTTGCTTTTAACAGGGGAACAGTGTTGGGAAATTGGGGAAGGGGACCAGCCAAGTTGTTCTCCTTCAATCTTAGTTGTGGAGGGTGCCAGTCACCATCTGGCTGCCCATCGGCAGCTTGTGGCCTCTAAGCTCAAGGTGTTGTTTTCAATCTTAGTTGCGGGTGGATGTAGCCACCATCCCATGCGGGAGTTGAACTGGCAGCCTTGTGGTTAAGAGTGCGTGCTCTATCCACTGAGCCATCTGGGCAGCACCTCAGCTCACGGTGCCTAGTTCAGTCTTAGTTGCAGGCTAGCGTAGCCCACCATCAAACAGGCAGTCTTGTTGTTAGGAGCATGTGCTCTCACCAGCTGAGCCATCTGCCACCTGTTGGCAGCTCAGCAGCAGCTCAGCTCAGGTGCAGCATCACTAGCCCATGTGGGAATCGAACCGGCGGCCCTGTTGCTCAGAGCTCACGCTCTGAATCTAACTCTTAACCAACTGAGCCACTCAGCCAGCCAGCAACTATTATGTTTTTAACTGTAGTACTGAACTGCTTCCTGGTTACACTGTCAAACAGTAATTTTAAATACATTTCAGGCATGTACATCTGTGATAGCTTTCTGTTCATCTTGTAAGGAATACACAATGTGTTTTATTGGGGAGGTTTCAAATACTCTGTTTTTCAAATTAGAGTTCTACTTAATTTAATCTCTACCCAGTACCTGGAAAATAGGGATATTCAGCATTGAAGAACTATATAGATAAAGCAATGGTTCTCAAACTTTTTAGTCTCAGAAATCCTTTTACTCTTAAAAATTATTGAGGCTCACCAAAGAGCTTTTGTTTACATAGGTTAAATCTGTTGATATTTACCAATATCAGTAAATTTACCAAGAAATGAGAAATTTTAAAAATATTAATTTAAAAATAACAGTAAGTACCCAATGGTAACATAAATATTTTTATGCAAATAACTATTTTCAAAAAAAAGTAAAAAGAGTGGCATTTTACATTTTTGCAAATGTAAAAAATATCTAGCTTAATATAGAGAGCTGGATTTTTATATCTGCTGTTGAATCAGTCTGTTTAACATATTCTTTTGGTTGAAATGTAAAAAGAAAATCCAGCTTTACACAGATATGTAACTGGAAAAGGGAGGATTTTAATAGCCTTTACAGTCATGGGTATTCTTCTTTAATACTACACTAAAGCTTGACAAGTAGTAGTTTCTTAAAGTTGTTGAAGTGTAGAATCTCAAGCCATAGCAGTGAACTCTTTATGCTCTGCTCCATGAATTAATAACCATTGATATATTTTACACTTCAAATGGATTTTTAACCAAGCATTATTTTGTAATCTCATGCATTGGTCAGTTAGATCATTTTAGTTCACTGAGTTATGTGGACCTTCCAAATGTTGACACATTTCATTATACAATATCAAAAATTCACATTCATTAATATCTCCACTGTTCTCATCAGGAAAGTCGTTTAAGTGTTGGGAAACTGTCAAGCTTATGGTGGCAGATCAAGTTTACCAAAATTTTATTTTTTTGCTTGAAAACTTAACTGTTATCACTGTCTACCACGGAATTTATCAACCTTGACACTACTGAGCCAGATCATCTTTTGTGTGTGGTGCTGCCTATACATTGTAGGATGTTTGCCAGCATCTCTGACCTCTACCTAGTAACAACCTCTCCCGCCCTCCCAGCTCCCCCACACACACACACAAACATAGAACCCCCAGTTATGAGAACCAAGAATGTCTTCAAACATTGCCAAAATGTTACCTGAGGGCTGAAAGAGCTTTGATTGAGAGCTACTAACACTGTTAATTGTTTTTTTTCAAGTGACAGGCATACTTTGTTCATTTGGAGAAAATAGCTACCAGATACCCAAGTTTGAATAGCATTAGTTTGTCTCCCAGTCTCTCTTTCAGCACAGGCTTTCTTAATGGCTTCCACATAATAATAATAAGTGCACCGATAAATCTCATCACTCATATTTTCCAAATATGCATATATTTATTTTGTATGCTTTCAATTGTGTACTGCTCTGTAGATTATTAAACATTCTTTATTAATTATTTTATTAACAGAACACCAAGGGGAGTTATACTTATGGAAGGAGTAAATAGTTACATGCTCTAAATAACAATCTAAAAGAGAATCAGTTTATGTTGTTAAGAGGTACTTACTCATTGGTCCCAAAGATTTCAATTCCTACCACAATTTGCATTTTGTATTTCTTACTCTAAATTAAGTAGACTTATCAACAGCTATAGGAATTATAATGAATTTAAAATATGCTACTAAAAATATATGTATTAATTTTTAAAAGGTAGTAAATAAGATTAGAAAAAAAATCCTGAGTCTACAATTGACACAAAATACTGCCTCCATAGTCCTTAGCAAGTCACTATCCCCTGAGGGTTTGCTTATGGAACATGAATTTTACTATTTTGTCTCACAAAGGAATTTAAGAACTTATTATTGTTTGCTTAGAAAGTATTTTATATGTGAAAAGCACCACAGGAAAGCAATATAATAAAGGTTTGATAACTTTTCACCATAAACCAGTTTTCTCTATCTCAGTAAAAAGAAATGTGTAACCCAGAGACAGCCTTGACCTGTCTTCTTCCCAGGTTTCTGATTGGACCATTAGGTGTTTCCTTTCCCAAGAGAAGACAGAAGGAAGAATCAGTTGTAATGGAGCTGAAGAAAGAGATGAAGAGTTCAAATTGGACATTATTTTAAGTCATGCATAAGTAGATGGAAGAGATAGCCACTAGAAACTGTATTTGTACCTCAAGAAATCAGTCTGAACTAAATCATATTAGGGAGTCCTCAACATTAGATGGGAGTTGAAACAAGAAATTGGCACTTGGAAGTCATATAGACTATTAAAAAGAGGACCAAATGAATAAAGGAAGTAGAGGGGCCGGCCAAGTGGCTCAGTTGATTAAGAGCGTACTCAAGAGTGTGAGCTCTGAGCAACAGCGGTTCAATGCCCAGCCCGAGTTGAGCTGCCGCTGAGCTGCCAACAGGTGGCAGGATGTGTCAGCTAAAGAAAAAAAAGGAAGTAGAAAAAGAAGGGGTGCAAATATGGAGCCCTGGGGAATGCCAGCATTTAAGGACTATGCAGAGAAAGAGCAGCATGCCAAGGAGACTGATGTCAGATAACCAGAAGACAAACCTGGCAAGTCCTTGAAATGGATAGAAAACAATTTCAATTACAAAGAGGTTAGTGAGTTGAGGATTGAAATCTGTCCCCTGGATTTGTCAGTGGGGAGTTCATTAGGGATGGCAGAGAAAGGAGTTCAAGTGGCATCCAAAGGGTTGAGGAGTCACCGAGAGATGAAATTAAGACCAAGAGGAAAGACTACTCTTGGGATAGAAGTTTGGCTTTGAAAGGAACAAAAAAATATCAGGAAATGTTTCTTTAAGATGACAGGCACTTGGGCATATTAATATATCTGAAGACAGTAAGGGGTGATGACACAGGGAACTGGAGAAAAATGGATGGACCAGAGTCTCAGAAGGGGGTGAGAATGGTGTTCAAAGATAGGAGAAGGAAACACCTCTTTAAAGATGAGGACAGTAGGGGGTTACAGATGCAGATAAACTTTTATCTAAGCAGGAAATTGAGGGAGCTCACGCTTAGCTTCAGTTTTCTGTATAAAATGTGAAGCAAGATCATTTGCAGAAAAGGGTTTGAATTAAATATAATTTCCATCACCATCAAGCATCAAATTTTGTTTAATTCTTTTAACCTTCAGTTTTAGGAGTTAAATATCTAAACTAATAATCTAAATGGTCTCAAGAATATTTTGATATTTCATGCTTTTAAAAATATTTGTGTCTAGTTCACAGAGTTGTTCTTTCTAAAAAATATTAACGGTTTTTAAGTGAAATAGCTGATCATAACTTTTTGTTTCTCTGTACTGAACTGGATTTTGTGGGAGAGGAAGAGTCTGGAGTGTTTTTATCTCATTTGTTTGTTTTTTCTTTTTCTTTTAAGGACTTGAAATTTTACAACAGAAAAGTTTTATTTATAGGAAATCCTATTTCTGAAATGTGACCAAATTATTTAGGAGAAGGCTAATAGAGGTTAGCAAATAAGAGGGAAAATTTTGGAGACCAGACATGTGAGTGAGTCTTCTGTGATATGTGTAGAGAAGTTCAGGTGTTGAAGTCCATGCAAGGTTCATCTTAGCAGCTCAGTGGACTGATTCATGGAGTTGTATGTAGTAAAAGTAGTATTGAGTTGTCTTAATTTGATCTCTCTCGTTAGGAAATACTTGGTGTACTTTATTTATCAAATCTTTATATAGAAATGGGAGAATTTCTGTTATATGCTAACTGGCACACTCATGTGTGTTCACCAATTTTTGGTTATTCATAGTTCTTTTTTTGTTGTTCTCCATACCTTCCTTGCTACTGGCCATCTTTGGGTTGTTTCTTTTCATTGATAGGAGTGAAACTTCTCCCCCAGATGATAAGAGCAACTATAAAGGAGGAAAAACCCAAACTATTTTTCTATTATATTGTCCAATAAAACATTTCGGGGGCTGGCCGAGTGGCTGAGTTGGTTAAGAGCTCACTCAAGAGTTTGAGCTTTGAGCAACGTGGTTCGATGCCCAGCCCGAGCTGAGCTGCCACTGAGCTGCCAACAGGTAGCAGGATGGCTCAGCTAAAAAAAAAAAAAAATTATAGAAAACATTTCATAGGTGAATTAGTTAGAGTAGATGCGAAGCTTCTAAAACGAAGAAACCTGGATTTAGAAACTTGGGAGCCTTGACTAGAACTTCATACCTCTTCTTCTCAGAAATAACAGGCATTTTAGATGTCTCAGTGCAGCAACCAAAGCTCCCAAGTGTGTTCTCTGCTCTCAATATTATTTCACATAGATAATGCCTACTGTAAAATGCCTGTGACAGGAAGTACTTGAGAAAGTGAAGTTGATTAATTTTAGATCCATAGCCTATGAGTCTCTTTCCCTTTTAATTAATTCAGTCAGATACATTTGGAGAGGAGGACATGCAAGTTGTAAGCACCTGAGGTCATTTCTGCTTTGTACAATGATTTTAATGAGAAAAGGAGAAAAGACTTAAGCATAGTCCTACTTTATATATTATTTCAAATGATTATTTCACAAAGACTATCTTTAGCCTTGTTTTTATTTAACTTTCCTTTGGTAATGGGTTAGAAAATATAAATACACAGATTCAACATAAACCAGTACTTATTTTCAAGGGTAAATTTTTATGTAGGGGGGTTCCATTCATACAGTAAAAGAACTCACATAAACACTAGCATAAAACAAACACGTGAGAAAAATCCATGTTTGACTTTCTCAGTATCTCAGGTATGTGCTCATAATCTGCCTAGCCCTTTAATTCACCATTTTGTCCCACCCACAGCTGCCCATTTATTTAATAACTTACCACATTAAAATGTTTGACCAGAGAGACTTGAGTTTATGGCTCACACGTGCTGCTTTGTCTCTGTTCCAGACCTTTGATGAATGTGTAGCTGAAGGCGGCTCAGACTGTGCTCCTGAGAAGCTGTGGCTTCAAATCCCGTTCTTCTGTGGCCACAGCTCGGAATGCTGGTAGGGAGATGCAGTTAGCTTACATTGATACTCTTCATCATTATCTCCACAATCTGTGTTTCACAAATGTCAATGTGTAAGTCAAGTGTTAGGTTTAAAGAAATTAGTGAAAGACCACTAAAAATAACGTGGAATTAATTAATACCTCGTTTTGTGGTTACATTTAAGTACATGAAGAAGAATCTGCATACATAATACCCTTGTCATGTTTTCTCACATACTGGTTTTGAATTTTCTGTTTATTTTTAGTGTTACATGTTTTGCTATATTCCAGCAGAGCTCTTAATTAGAGGTCAGAGATCATTTCATAAACCTCATTTTCTTGTAAGGTTACTGTTTTAGCTATTCACATTAGATCAAGAAAAGGCTTACTGGGTGAATTATTCACCTGGTGTTACTGTTAAGCTGATTTTGACTTTGAGGGAAGCCAAGGTTATGATTGTGGCTTAGTCTGCTAATAATCATGAGATGGAAAACAAAGATACTTTATCTTTAGTAAAGTTCATTTCAGAAAAAAAAAACGTATTTTATCCTTAGTAAACAGCTTATTTCCTCAGAGTGTGCTGAATTTTCAGCCTTTCAAAATAATGATATGCATTCATTTGTTTCAATCAATAATTTTAATAGAAAAAGTCGAAAAAAAAACCAGGAACACATCCAAAGTTAGTGTCTTCCTTAAATCCATAATGAGAAATGCAAGGAATGCCTTCTGTTCTTTTCTTCATTAATTGAGATATATTACTTGATTACTGTGAACTTTAAGGTCTTACTCAATAGTTTCTATCAAAGTATAATAGCGTAGAAAGAAGGGGAAGCATAGGAAGAACGTCTTCTCAATTTTTAATCATTTCCTTAGAAGAGGGATTGGCACATTACAACCTGGAAACCAAATTTGGCCCATCACCTGTTTTTATGAATAAAGCTTTAATAAAACACAGCCACATCCATTTCTTTACTTATTGCCAATGGCTGTTTCATTCTGTAAGAACCGAGTTGAGTAATTATGACCAAGACCACATGGCGTGCAAAACCTAAGATATTTACTCTGGCCATTTATAGAAAAAGTTTGCCAACCCCCTTTATTGTAAAACAATAAAGAGTATTGCTCTATTGGGCATTATTGAGATTTTAATTAAACTTCTTAAGTATGTTTCATAGATTAGTAGAACTGGGAGGGATCTTAGAAATAAACTAATTTATTCTTCCACGCCCTCGCTACAGATTTTTAATGGCTGAGAAAACCAAGTTAGAAAGCTGAAGTCACCAGCTCAATGTCACATTGCTTAAAGGCAGAGCTGGAATTAGGATTAGGGAATGTCAGTGCTAAAAAGAACTGAAAAGTATAGTTTATTTAGAGCCAAATCTCTATTATAAACAGCCATTGGCTGACAATATAAAAAAATAAAAGATTCCTGGCAGAGCCATTTCTTATCTTACTTCTGTTCCTCAGAAATGACAGAAAAACCTAAGCTCACAGATTAAATTAAGATAAACACTAAGCACAAATTGCTTAGAGCTTACTAGAGAGCTCTTAAAATGAACAAAGTTTAGAGTAGTTAAAAAAATTAAATGCACTCAATACTAAATCAGATAAGAGGAATATATGTTATATATACATTTTTAAGCTGCCCTCAAGCTAAACTTTGTTAATATTAAGCGTCACCTGTAAAGTCTAAACTAGCACTGCATAGTTGTTCAGAAACTGGGGATAGAGGCAAAGGAAATGAAAAACAGGTGTGCTTCCCAAAAGACATTAATAAAAGGGCATTAAGTCTTTGGATGGACATGTGTTTATCTATTTTCTTCATAATACACAGTGGCAATGGCATAAAAAATACTTAGCAGATTGCACAATCGGGTACTCAACTCCTCTTCTTGGTTTTAGGAATGTGGGAAGCAGGTGGGCTATGGATCAAGCCAAGTATAACCTAATTAATGAGTACTTTCTGGTGGGAGTTACTGAAGAGCTGGAAGATTTCATCATGCTGTTGGAGGCAGCATTGCCCCGGTTCTTCAGGGGCGCTACAGAGCTCTACCGTACAGGTATATACATGATGGGTTTCTTTTTAAAGCTGTCCTTAACTTACTTTGTTTGATTGCAACTTGAAATATGTGTGATTTGAAGTTTCTTTGAGTAAAGTACAAGAAAAAACTTCAGAAGAGAAGGTATAATGTCTGTTTTTCCTCACCATTTTCAATACAGAATAACTGCTGGCACACAAATGGTGTACATTACATATTTTTTGAATGGATAAACATGCATTAGGTGATAATTAGAAGGCATTGTAGGAACAGTGCAAAGACACAAACTACAGAACCAGCCTTAGACACTTGTAATATTCAGTAATTCCGGATACCAAACATTATGACTATGTATCCCGCCTTTAGACCCGTTTATTGTCATTTAGCATAGAGGTGGGGTGGTAGGACGGAGTCACATTAACATGGATCCTCATGTGCCACGACTGTCATGGTACTCCTGAAAGTCTGCTTAGCAGTTTTGACAACATGACCACCTGAAAGTGACTGTGTTGGTCCAGTGCAATTTGGGTTTATTGCTTTGTTTTGGTTTTTTTTTGCCATTCTTTGGTAAGATACAGTCACAGGAACTCTTTTTCTAGGGTATGCATATACCCTAGCTGCTAGTTCATAATTATATAGAGTGTAGGTAATGAGAAATTAGTATTAAGTTTGTAAATAGATATTTTATCATGTTTTTTTTTTAAAAAAATGAACTAGTCAGAGCACCAAGCATTTGAGAATACGGCATGTATTGTGACCGCTTACACTTCACTGAGTGGCAAATCTTTATTTTTAGTATTTGACATCTCCTTAAGTCTTCAGCTGGTTAAGGATTTACATTATAAAGGAATAAATCACAGTTACAGTATGCTTAGGGCACTGTTTTTGCCTGAGTGATAGTAATACAAAATAATTGTTACCTGTCCTTCAACGTGCCATGTTCACTTAAACCATCTCTTCACATAAAGACACATTGATCTTTTGCCTGTTCTTAGAATCACTTACCTTTTCTTTTTTTCCTTTGTAAGTAGGAAAGAAATCTCACCTTAGGAAAACCACAGAGAAGAAACTCCCCACTAAGCAAACCATTGCAAAACTACAGCAGTCTGACATTTGGAAAATGGAGAATGAGTTCTATGAATTTGCGCTAGAGCAGTTTCAATTCATCAGAGCCCATGCCGTACGAGAAAAAGATGGAGACCTCTACATCCTCGCACAAAACTTTTTTTATGAAAAGATTTACCCCAAATCGAACTGAGTTCAAGGTGTGACTATTAGATTTTGGAACTAAAACTTTGACCCTGTCATTACCTGAATTCTCACCTCCAGAACTTGGATTGCTGTTAGATGTGAGACAGTTCATAATGAGCCAAGTTAGGAAACAAACAGTAACATCAAGGAATTAGATACTGGCTGGTATACCTGTGAGCTAAGAAGTTTAAGTTTCAGCCTTTCTTTGTTTTTTTTGTTTTTTTTTTAAATTTTCTGGTTAAATTTTGGTGGAAGTTATAACCTGGTTGGAAAAAAACCCCTACACATCACCTAAAATAAACACATAACAGTTCTAATCAAAAGACTAAATACAATCTCGGAAAAGGTTCTGATACTCTGTTTCTGATAGGGCATTTTTTCCAGCTACCCATGAATGAAGACGAACCCATTTGCTACTTCCACCTTCACCCAGAGGCTTGGGTTATACACCTCGACTGAATAGTGTTATTAGCGGGCAGTGTGTGCTTTGTTTTTGTGAATCATGTCTCATGAAATTTATTGAGATGTTTGATCATGTTTGCTAAGAAATGTCTCTGCTGTAGTTGGAATTGCCCATATTTATGTAGGTCATGTTAATTTTAAAAAATATATAATTATCATTAGTGTTAAAAAACCCATTTAAACTATTATTAATACTGTAAAAAGAGTCAAAGCAGTATTTCTCATTCCTGTCTCCCCAGTATCTAAGACTGGGGAGCTACTTCAAAGAATGTCAACATTGCCTGGAGTTTTAGTTAAGGCTTCCACACATTAATATCAAAAAAACGTAAATTTAGTATTTGTTTCTCCGTGGGTTATTTGTAAAGATGTAAACTGAGATATCGGTGACTCCATATTATAACTCCATTAGTGAGCTGTGGTATGGGTAGGATTTTCCTACTTCTTCTGTACTTTTACTTGTAGACTATTTTTACTAAGGTGCTTTATAATGTGTTTTAAAGCATTGCATTTACAAAAAAAAAAGGAAAATGCTGTAAATATTGCATATTTTATGTATTTGGACCAAAAGATTATAAGTAATTAGACAAAAGTGGTTTTGCACCAACTTTAGTATGTCAAGTAAAACCATCAGACCTACTGTTCTTGTATTTATCATTTAACTTTAAGAGGTCACTGAAATGAACTTTAATAATCCTTCAATTTTGATACACAGTACATTATTCATAATTGGGGGCGGTAGTTACAGTGGAAGGAGTACTGGACAAGGAATCAGAAAACTTGATTTCTGGTCCAGGCTCTGCCACTTATGAGCTTTGTGACCTTGGGCAAGTCACTTAACCTCTCTTTGCCTCAATTTCCTCATCTCCAAATGAGGGTAATAATACCTGCTGTACCTACCTCACAGGGGTGTTGTGAGGATTAAACGAGATGGCATGTGAAAGCACTTTGAAAACTGTAAAGCGCTATATAAATGTAAGGTATTACGGAAACATCTTTAACATATAGTTTCATACCATTCATTTTTTTTTTAATAAAGAAAGGGAAAGTCCACTTATAAGCTGGTTGAAAAAAGTTAATCTTGATATAAATTTGTGTTTGATAAATATCTTCTCAGTGTTTTATCTTCCTTGTTTCAACTATTGAAATATGAAACACCTGTGAATTCTTAAAGATTCATGAGCAGCTGCTTGAGTTCAGGAGGTTCCCTGTTTGAAAAAGACTTCATGAGCTGACTCAGGGCAGGGGAATTTTACTCTTTGAATTTGGAAGGTTTTTGCTTGTATTTTACGTTAGCATTCAGAAATGGTAGCTATTTTATACCTCTGGTTTTTAAGATGTATTTTGCAGAGCTTAATTACACTGTGCATTCTTTCCCTTCTTCCCCTTGTTGGAGTTACAAGATAAAGATTTTAGAAACATTTTCTAAAAGAGTAATCTCTACTATATATTGTTTAAATAAATATTCCCAAACAAGGCCTCACCAAGCTATGTAAGCGTTTTAAGCAGGTTGCTTTAAAGGTTATTTATTGTATGGGAAGCTAGGAGGGAGCACCGCTTGTCAGAAAACGTTTATTAACAGATGTAAAGAAAAGCTAAACAAAGGAAGCTGACAGAAGCATTGTAGCGCCCTTTCCTCCTAATAATAGAATATCAAGAGAACATCGACAGGCATAATTTTCCTGTCTGGCTTTCTTTTTAGTGTATTTATTAACTTTTACAGGTATTTGTTGAAAATATACACAAATTATTTCCTTGCCCAAAAGTAAAGCACTGTTTCAAGGTGGGGTGTCTAACATTTATCTGCTAAGGGACCTCCCCCACCCCCCACCCCCACCCCCCGTATGCAGGTTATTCCTGGAGTACATGCTGAAGTCTTGTTGAGGTGCATTAACTCTTCTAGGGAACTAGAGTAGCACAGAGTGCACCAGGTCAGGTGTCAGTAAACTTTTTCTATAAAGGTCCAGAGAGTAAATATTTTAGGCTTTGTGGGCCATGCGGTCTCAGTCACGACTACTCAGCTCTGCCATGTTAGCACAAAAGCACCCATAGACGATACATCCGTGAATGAGCATGGCTATGTTCCAATAAAACTTTATTGCAAAAACAGGCAACATGCCTGATATGGACCAGGGGTTATAGTTTACCAACCCCTGTAATAGGGAGATCGTTATTTACGGAGAAACCAGTTTTGAATCTGTACTCTAGTGGCCTAAAAGAGTTTATATACTTCCAAAAGCTCCTAACTTATATCCAAAGAATAGCTTTTTGATTCAGGCAGTCTCTCCCACAGATTCATAAACTTTTATGACTTAAATTGCTTCCAGGAGGCATGTTTCCTTTCCCAGTTTAACAGTTCAGAATAGGAGCTTTTATTCTAGCATCTTTTAGGGTGGGTTAGGAGTATCCATCCTGGAGACTGAAAAAGGGTTAGATTTAATTCCATCTGGTCCAATACAATTGTAGGCGTCTAATGAGTACAGAGTCCTTATAATACCTAACTTTATAATCAAATATATAAAACCACTGAGACAATAATGTATTTTTTTAAAGTGGCAAATGTGGTTTTCTTTTTTCAGCCTTTGCGCTTTTTTCAGTATTTTGATCATAGGGAATTTTTTTTATAACACAAAAGCAAATTAACCACTTGAATTTTAAAAGATAATGTTATGTGTGTATGTGTGTGTGTGTGTGTGTGTGTGTGTGTGTGTGTGTGTGTACATCTATATCTATATCTATATATGTTGATTTCCTAAAAGAGGAAAAGTACCTTTTTGTTCAACTTGTATCAATTCCTGTTTTCTAATTGCTGTGAAATGGCAACTGTTGATAAATTATTGTGACTGTTTTAAAATGTAATGGGGAGGATATATTTTGATTTTACCCAGCTTTAATCTGTAAAGTATCACGTAAATATATCTGATAGCAACACTTAAGATATTGCATGGGAATTACTTTTCTATCATCCTTTCTCATTTATGCAACTTTGAACATATTGGGTGCTTCTGAATTCCTGATGATTGGATTTAAATTATTGAAAAATCAGAGAATTTGAACTTATGGACTTTTAAATTTTAAATTTTATTTTCTATTCTTAAAATTTAGTTAATGCCTACAATTTGAAATCTACTGTTTCTCTTTCTCAATATGTGTTCTATTGGAAATTGCTAAAATTGTTAGTGCCATCAGTGATTTACAAACAGTATTTTGATATTACAAATGATTTGCTCATTGTATTTGCATAGCTAGAAAGAAAATAGTTTGTAGACGATGATTCTCTCTTTTTCTAATAAAATGAAATAAAAAATTCTGAAAGCACTAGCGAATTTAACTAAAGGCTGGTTCCCAAATGCATAGCTGGTGTTCTAATTTATATTCAAATGCTACATAGAGAACATCTGTGTAAACCACCTCTCTGGTTTTTCCCAGTGATCATTCTCAAACACACCTATGGTCCTAGAATCTTTTATTATGAGAGGCATCCGGTACTGTGTAACCTTTTATGAAGCCTGTCTTTAAGAGGCCCAGGTGCTTCTAATTTATGATTTGAAGCTTGCCTCTTTATAAATTAATGCTATTTACTTTGAGAGGAAGCAGGACAATTGCTGTTAAAATTTTGCATCCATTTACCCTATGCAAAATTGCTGTCTGATGCCAGCGAAACTGCTGCTCAGGCAGCCTTTTGAAGGGAAAAGCCACCCTGTTTCAGATGCGCTGCCAATTCAGCTCCTCTGGAGTAGAGCTTACTTTCTGATTTCCTGGAGTGGGAATTTTAGAGATTGAAATGGGTTGATCAGTTAGTCAGCTTTATCCTATAATTTAAGTTCATGCAGCTTTGTGATCTTTGCAGTGCTATTTATAAAAGGACCCTGATGGCGATGACCTCTTTAAAACACATGACTGGTAAGCCTATGATTTAGACACACCGATGTCTTAGCTGCTGTAGCTTTCTATTGAGTCAGGTATGTGAGCATCTCTAAAGGAGTGTCAAATGTAATTTTGAGAAACATGGATTGCATATTTTGATTTTGAGTTTATAAATACACAGACAGCTAAACAGTGCCTTTCCCCTCTCACAGTCCGTGTTGGAAGATGCTCACTCCATGCTTCTGTCTCTGCTTTCCTCCCTTCCCTCCTCCCACCCCCATTCAGCTGATTCATTTATGCAATACTGTTTCCAACTTGAAACCATTTTGTCACATCTGTTGGAGAGATAATCGCTCCTGTTCCTTAACATTCTGCCAGCTTTCTGTTGTTAAAGTGTTTCAGTTGATTACCTGATGCAAAAGCTATAAAATAAATACTCAGTGGGAAGGGGAGAACTGTTTTGGTGTCCTGTTTTAATATTTTCTTCTGTAGCCATAATGCTGATGGACATTTTCCAAGTGGACTCAGTGTTCAGTGTCATCAACTGAACTCTCAGATATCGTTGCCACCGGAAAGGTATGAATTGTCATTGGTCTATAGTGATTTTCTGGCTTGTTTGTGGCAATATTGTGTGCAGACTGATATGCTGTGCTGCTTTTTGCTTTGTACTTCATCACTGGTATTGAAATTTCAGATAGAAAATTTACAAGGTAAACTTAGGATATATACACTTAATTAGAAGGAAAAAAAAGGAAATAAGGACAGGGCCAACAATTCAGAATAAAAAGGACATTTGAAAGAAAAAGTTAATCTGATATTTATTGCACAGTTTAGACATGTCCATACTGTTTCTTTGAGAATACACATTTTCTACTGATTATGTTTTGTTTTGTTTTTTTCTACCCTTAAAAGAGAAACTCTCAATTACGTAGATTTCCAATTCCCAGCCACCGGCTCATTGTTTGAGCAAGTAATTGAGTCTTTTTATATTATATGATACTGGGTTGAATAAAATACTAGTTCAGTGATCAGTTTTTCTAAACAGAGAATTTGGTCTGTACCCACAGAGGCAGAACGGAGAATATGGATTTAAGTGTCAAATAAACCTGCATTTAGCATTGTGACTTTAGTTGTAAAGGTCGGACATGATAGATGCAAAGTGTTGGCCCAGGTAGATTGATAACTGATAGTTTTTGTGTGCTCTGTTAGGATGTTGTTAGGAAGCCGACCTGCCCTTCCCACTTTGCAGAATACTAGTTGTGTCACTTTGTAGAAGATATTTTCATAAATATTTTTGAATGCCACGGGATTTTACCTTTTACTGACAACCTGCTATCTTAATGCCTCCTTACTTATATGCCTATAACTTAGATATTCTGAGTCCTGATACCTGCTATTGTTTGTATGTATGAATTTCCTATGAGAAGGGGTGAGCAGGAAGAGTGCTGATTGTTCTAAAGGAGACTGGAGCTGCTTATTCCAGAAGTGGCTAGAATTAGAGCAGTGTGGACTGCCAAGCAGCACATGTGTAAAACTCAGGATACCTGGAGTAAAATGATTTGCATTATTTTACCATAAAGGAAACTATCCATACTTGGTAAGGAAAGAGGACATTTGCCTTAGAGTTACAAGTTAGTTGATGATGTTAGAATTCCAGGTTTTTAGGATATCTGAAAAATAAAATTAGTATGTAATGATTGTTGCCTAAACCTGCGTATTTTTACTGTACTTGTATCATCACCAGCTTTTTTTTTTTTTAAGCAGCACTTGAACTTTCTGGATTTTCTTCCAGTAGTAACAATGCAAAAATGCAAATTCCACATCACTGTCCACTTGTTTCTTTCTGGAGGAACCCCCTGCACCTGTTACCTTACCTTGTCTTCATTACACCCTGTCTCACCTTTGTGCTCTCAGAGCACAGGTGTGGCACCCTGCAACAAAACAAAAAGATAATAACAGCATCAACAATAAAATTGACTTCACGTTTTCTCCCTTTCTACTTTAGGGAATAACCAGTTGAACGAACAAGGAAAATTTTTATAAAGTCACTATTCTCTTTTCGGTTTGCTATCTTTCTTCTAGTAGCATGAGACTAAACAGATAAACTTTAAAAAATATTTCAAGGGCCCCTTTGAGGTATAATGGACTTTAGATAATATATTTAATACTTAACGCCTGTGAGGAGGGGAAGCAACAGGAAAAATGTAGGAGGGATTTTTTTGTTTTTTCATTTCACCTATTTTATTCTATGAGAAAATAAAGTCCCTTGAATAGATTATTTTTTGGTTTGAAAATAATGACTGCGGAGATTCATGAAAAGATAATCCCTGAGATTTGGCTAGTTGTTACTCCTTTCTTCCCACCTTTTGGCCCTATGCTGTTTTCAAAACCAGATGATGAGCTTGGTGAAATCACCATACCCCCTTTTTGAAAAAATAAACTTGAATATTGACATCTCAGATTTCATTTGCTCTAATATTCCCATAGGATTCAGTACTTGCCTCCTGTTCCCTACAGTCCTTCACCATATAATTGCTTCTGGAGATTCTTGTAGCTGGACTACTGAAAGTCAGTTTTAATGCATTCAGTTATAAGGTAATAGAGACATCTACTACTGGTTGTAAAAAAAAACAAAACCAGTTTGTATGGTAGGTAGAATATGGACTCTAGAGTGCTACCACTTACTTGCTATCTGATCTTGAACAAATTAACCCCCCCTGCCCCAAGGCTGAGTTTCCTCATCTGTAAAATAGGAATAACTAATATCAACAGTTAGCTTGAGGATTCAGTGAGATTTTATATACACACACACACACACACACACACACACACACATTTACTTAGTACTTAGTGCCTGTTACTTAATAAGCACTGAAGAAGTGTTAACATCACCCTCTAGGATAAATGTGAAAGAAAATGATGAGGAATCATCTCCTTGGACATACTGTGTTGAAGTGTGTATATCTACTCAGTCATCTAGAAAACACTTGCCAAGCTCGAGGAACATGAAAGATGGACAAGACCCAGGGCCTCTTTGTTGAGAAGAGAGGAGGGTAAAGAAGAAATACAAAGCATTGTACAAAAATCTCCCTGAACTGAGGATAAACCACTTCTTTTGTTGTTAAGGGTTCATCGCCACCAGCACCACCCCCCAGACCTTTTAATTTAGTGCACTTAACAGCTTCATCTTAGTTTTAACCTTGAAATAGCAGAAGCACCAACGTAGCCCTAGTAATCATGTTCGAGACACCTAGGAACCATTAGTTTTCTCTAAAATGCAAACCTCCATGTTCATCCACGTGGTAGGCTTAATTTCATGACAAATGACTAGGTCCTCCCACTTCTCTAGACAACTAATTGGGTTCAGAGGTTAAAGTGATGAGATTTTACTATGAGAGGCATTGGTGACATTCAGATGTAATCTTTAATTCTATTATATTTCAATTCCAAAGTCATTTAAAACAATAAATACAAATAAAGCAATGCACATGGTCCCAATGTAGAACCAATATTCTACATGTGGGCCCAACCCACAAAAGTTAGCTTAACCTGAACATTCTTGGATTTATTCCTTCACTGGAGCAGAGGAATCTAAGGGCTGTGTCCTTCCTGGGGCTTAATGTGGTTTTCTGCTGTTTTCTCCCCAAGGAGATATTTTCATTCTTGAATCTTTTTTTTTAAGATATTTATTAAAATACAGCTAACAAAATATTATATTAGTTTCAGGTGTACACCATAGTTATGCAACAGTACTCGCCTGCAACTATACACAGTTATTACTGTAATATTGATTATATTCCCCATGCTAAAAAAGTGATCACCATGATAAGTTCAGCAACCATCTGACACTGTACCACGCTATCACAACATTATTGACTATATTTGCTATGCTGCACATTACATCCCCAAGACTTGTTTTACACCTGGAACTTTGAACCTTTTATTCCCCTTTGTCTCCCCCCTTTTTAAATTTTTCAATTACAGTTGACATTCAATATTATTTTATATTAATTTCAGGTGTACAGCATAATGGTTAGACATATAATTTACAAAGTGATCCCCAACTAGTCTAATACCCACCCGGCACTACATCGTTATTACCATATTATTGATTATATTCCCTGTGCTTTACATCCCCATGAGTATCTTATAACTACAAATTTGTATTTCTTAATCCCTTCACCTTGTTCACCCTGCCCCCAACCACCCTCCCATCTATCACCCCAACAAATCTAATACCCATCTGACACCATACATAGTTATTACAAATTATTGACTATATTTCTTATGCTATACCCTACATCCCCATGACTACTGTGTAACAACCAATTTGTACTTCTTAATTTCTTCCCCTTTTTCGCCCAACCCCAATCCCCCTCCCATCTGGCAACCATCAAAATATCCTCTGGATCTATAAGTTTGTTTCTGTTTTGTTTGTTTATTTGTTGTTTAGATTCCACTTACAAATGAAATCATATGACATTTGTCTTTAGCTGTCTGACTTAACTACACTCAGCACAGTATCCTGTAGGTCCATCCATGTTGTCACAGATGGCAAGATTTCATTCTTTTTTATGGCTGAGTGATATTCCATTGTATACATGTACCACCACGTTTTTATCCATTCATCCACTCAGGCACCCAGGTTGCCTTCATATCTTGGCTGTTGTAAATACTGCAATGAACATATAGATGAGCACATCCCATTGAAGTAGCATTTGGGGTTTCTTCGGATAAATACCCAGAAGTGGGATTACTAGCTCCTTCTTTGTCTCTTGTTATAGTCTTTGTTTTGAGGTCTATTTTGTCTGGAATAAGTATTGGTACTCCAGCTTTTGTTTGTTGGTTTGTTTGTTTCCATTTTCATGAAAGATCTTTTCCATCCCTTTCCTTTCAGTCTGTGTGTATCTTTCTATCTGAAGTGAGTTTCTTGAAGGCAGTATATGTAAGGGTCTTGTTTTCTTATTCATTCAGCTTCCCTATCTTTTAATTGGATCATTTAGTCCATTTACATTGAAAGTAATTGTTGATAGGTATGTAGTTATTGCCATTTTCTTATTCATGATTATTACTATGAGTGTCTGACAATTAAGTTCGCAAACTTGTTGCATCAATGTTGCTAACCTTTTTTGATATCAGAGGAATTATTCATTATGAATTTGTACTAACTGGACAAACAGTTAACCAAGCTTACTATTTGGAAGTGCTGAAAAGGCTGTTTGAAAAAGTTAGACAACCTGATATTTTTGCCACCAATTCATGGCTCTTACATCACAACAATGTACCAGCTCACCTGGCACTGTCTGTGAGGGAATTTTTAGCCAGTAAACAAATAACTATATTGGAACACCCTCCCTACTCACCTGATCTGCCTCCCAGTGATTTCTTTCTTTACCTGAAGATAAAGGAAGTATTGAAAGGAAGACACTTTGGGCCGGCCGAGTGGCGCGATGGTTAAGAACTCGCTTGGGATGCCAGAGGGCCCCGGTTCGGATCCCACATATGAGGGCCAGTGACACTGCCCTCTACAGCTAAGATGCTGAACAACAGCTCAACCTGGAGCTGGGCTGCCGTGA